CTGAGTGCTGGGATTAAAGATGTGCACCACCAATGCCCAGCTCTATCTTTGGTTTCTTGGATGGATGGATTCAAAGTTTTCGTTAACCCCTGAAGTCTTGAAACTCTGCACAAATTGTATTTTTTTTTTTTTTGGTGGAGTGTTTTTACCTTTTCTTACATTCTAGAAAAAAGAAACTAATAACAGGTTACTCAGATCATTAATGTACAGTGAAAATCCCTTGTTTAAGAGAGTTGCCTGTAGGCAGACAGGCCGATCCCCATCTGGAGACACACATCCTACTGCTTTCCCCCAGATGTGAAAAGTGGTCCCCAGAGAGTTGACCGTTGATTTGAGGCCACAGGTGGAGGCAGAGCTTGACCTTGGGTTGGGGTGGATGTGCGGATCCCTGGTTTAATCTTGTTTTCAAGGAGATGGTTGTTCAGGCTTGATTCAAGACTGGGGCCTCTGCAGACTGGGATTCCTCTGCAGAGTGGGCCGGGACTGGGCGTATCGCTCAGCAGTAGAATGCTTGCCTAGTCCATAAAACAGGCGAATCTCTGGGTTCGAGGTCAGCTTGGTCTACAGACTGAATTCCAGGGCTATACAGGGAAACCCTGTCTCAAAACCAGAAAACAAACAAACAAACAAAAAAACCCTACACAAACAAAATGGAAATCCGACAGTTTTGGTTCAATTCCTGCTTTAGTGGTTATGAAACACAAGGCATTCATTAAGCCTCTTAATCTCAGGGCCCTGGGTTGTCAAACAAAGCCACCAGTAGCCTGTGCAATGGGAGGACTCTGAGATGGATCTGGCTGGCAGGCACTCTTATGTCTCCACACTGTCCGGTGTGTATACTGTGATGGATGTCTTGGTACATTATTCTGTCTTTCTGCTTCTCTCAATCTTCCTGACCTGACCTGTTCTGGGGTGGGGTTGGGGTGGGTGGGGGCGGCTCTGGTCCTCACATCCCCAGGTTGACTTGTCATATGCCTGTTGAGCTGCCCTCTGGGGCTGGATCTCATGTCCTCTGCCTGCTCTGACAGGACATGAGAAAGCTACAGGCTGTTGCCACTAAGGAAGCATTTTGGCTGATGTAACCCTTGCCTTTAATGGCCATTGCTGGCAATTCCTACACTTCAGGAGGTTTAACCGCTCGAGGACTGGGGTAGTTAGTGAGTTTCTCCTAGTTCTCTCTCTTTGCTAGTGTAGTGATATTATTTATGATTTATTAAAGCTTGACTAAAGATTCAGAAAGTCAGCCTCAAGCTATAGAAATCAGGCAGTGGTAATCACACACGTTTAATCCGAGCAGCCAGAAGCTAGGAGGTCATGGTACCCACCTTTAATCCTAGGACTCAGGATTAAGAGGTAGACTGATCGCTGTGATTCCAAGGCCGCTCAGATCTACACAAGAGTGGATCGGTCTAAAAGAATTAGAGCTCACACCTTTAACCCCAGCACTAGAGGAGTAGAAAAGACCAGAGCTTGAGGAGAGGTTACAGTCTGAGGCTTGGTGAGAACTCTCGGAAACGGGATCAGTCCATTCATTCTGAGATAGAGGTGAGAAGCTAGTGGGCCAGCTGCTTTGCTTTTCTGATATTCAGCTTGAAGTTTGAACGCCAATATCAGTCTCTGGTTCATTTATTTTTTCATGTAACATGATAGAGCGGGCCTTGGTCCTCTAGGCACTAAGAAAGTGCTCAGGAGTATGTGGTGCTTGTACACCCTACCTTCTGGCCTTCTTGAAGGTACTAACAAGGCCTTTATTTAATTTCTACCAGGAGAAACCAATATGGAGTGAAATATAGGGGTTTGTTCTCACTGTCCATCAGGAGCATCTAAGCAGTGGTTCTCAACCTTTCTAACTGTGTGGCCCTTTGATATACTTCCTCGTGTTGTGGTGACCCCCGACTATAAAATTTTGTTGCTACTTCGTAAGTGTGATTTTGCTATTGTTAGTATCTGTTTTCTGATGGTTTTAGGTAATCCCTGTGAAAAGGCTTGACCCACAGGTTGAGAACAGCTAAGAGGCTAAACCATCATGACACCAGTCTAAACCAGTCAACTCCGGGCCTCCCATATGTGGAATGAATGAGTTATACAAGGGGGTTGTAATGTAATTCCAGTTACAGGTCCCAGCATTACCCTGTGCGGTTTGGGCCTGAAAGGAATTAGATAGCGCCACACTGTGGAAAGCAGGCTTAGCCGACAAAGGTCCTTGGCTGCCTCAGCTCTTCCAGGCTGTTTTAATCAGGGCTGGGGGCTTTGCTGAACAGGAAGCCTAGAAACCTAGCCTGGGTTCCCAGGGTGGGCTGTGTGCCCTCGAGGGGTGAGGGAAGGCTTCTGGGATGTCTTTCTTTCATTGGTTGGGTGGCTCTGCCCTCCTCCCTCCCCCTCCCTCTCCTGGAACATTCCAGACATTCCAGCCTATCTGCCTGCCATTGCTTTCTGGATATGGATTAACATCCTTGCAGAGATTTGATTTCTCTGCTATCACCCTTCCTTTCTGCCTTTCCTAAATAGAGTCCTGAAACAGATTGGAGAGGGAAGTTTTGGCCTTTGACCTTGAATTGCATTAATGGACTGTTTCCAAACTAGGCTCCTGTACTGTTGCTTTTATGTCTTATTACGGGGACTGTGCCTTATTACCGGGACTCCTAGGCAGACGGCCTTCATCTTTCTGCCCTCTATCCAAAAGGATTTTCTGGAAGGAGGTATCCTGGGATGGACTATTCCTGCTTTTAAACCACGCAGTGTTCATTTTTTTCCCCAAGTGGGAAGTAGAGAGAGTGTGGCAATTGTTTTGTGAGAATCTTGATCCACAGCTTCTTTTTGGCTAATCCTTGGACCTGGTGCCTGATAAGATGAAGTACTCAGAAATAGGCTTACTGGCTGTGTGTGTCCCCTTGAATTTCTGATCCTCTGCCAGTGCCTTGGGTGCTGGGATTACAGGTGTTTGATACATGCTTACCTTTCTATGAAGTGCTGGAACTTGGACTCAGGCTTTGTGCCTGCCAGGCAAGCACTATGCCCACTGAGTTACATCTGTTTGTCTTTCTTCCCTCCCTCTTTTGCCCTTACTCTAATGCCACCTTCCAGACTGGCCTAGTGTTTATTCCTTCACAAAGACTGACCTCCCCATGATCAGGCCCAGCTGGAGCTGTTTATTTCTGTTCCTCACTGTGTCTTGTCTATCTAACTTTGTGACATCAAGTTCATAAGCTGCAAGGATTCTCTTCCAAGCAGACTTCCTTAGCTATTTAGTTTTTTCTTTTTGAGACAGGGTTTTTCTGTGTAGCCCTGGCGGTCCCGGACCTCACTGTGTGCAGACCAGGCTGACTTCAAACAGCCTTTTCACCTTCTCAAGTGCTGGGATTAAAAGTTGTGCACCACCACTGCCCAGTTCCTTTAGCTATTTCATCCCAGAGTTTCCTCATGGATAAAGACTTGCTCTTCTCAGAAGACCTTTGTATTTTATTACCTGAGACACTAAACTCTGCCTTGGTGAAGAGACTGGCCTGGGACAGCTGAGGCCCACACACCCACAGTTTGGACACAGCATTCCTTTTGTACCTCCTCACTAGCTCATCTGGTAGGTCACTGAGGCCTGAGGTCAAGTGACTTAAGCAAATCTTTATTTTATTATGTGCATAAGTGTTTTGCCTGCATGTATGTGCAGTGCCTGTGGAGGCCAAAAGAGGGTGTCTGATCCCCTCCAGTTATAGGGGTTGTGATCCATCCATCATGTGTGTGTGCTGGCAATTAAACCCTGCTCCTCTAGAAGACTGTCTGGTACTCTTAGCTGCTGAGCCATCTATCCAACCCTCTAAACCTTGACTTTGAACTAAGGGTTTGTGCAGAATCAAAGATGTACAGAGATCTTAATGACAATCGACTAACACATCAAGCCAATTTAAATGTCTTAAACTCCGGGATTACGGTATTGATTTGGGTGGTGAGCATTTATTTGCTCTGGGAGTCAGCCCTGAACCTGAAAGGGATCCTCAGAGGATTTCTTTTCCAACTGTTTGAAAGCTGGGATGAGTATCCATGGTATAGTGGCCAGGGAGGAAGAAGGAGCTCCTGATGCTGAGCTTGGTGTAATCATTCTGGGGTGCCTTCACCACTCACAGACGCCAGTTACAGTTTAAGGACTTACTCCAAGTCTTTACAAGTTTATCTGCTGCCACCTCCCACCTGTGAATAGGTATTATCCCTTTGTACAAAAGGGGAGACTGGGCCTCAAGTTAATAATCGTATAAAGATCAGTGCTAATGAGTGGTTTAGATCCCTAACTGTGCCAAAGGGCTTAACCACTGTACTATTATCTTATGTAATTGTTCTAATATATTGTTTCCCCCAATCCGGTGTGAGCACCTGGTCCAGACATTCCACCTCTTTTGTTCATTGCTGTGCCCCAACCTCAGGAGCAAAGCAGAGCTTGGAAGTATGTGCCAGCTAAAGAGGTGTTGGATTACTGTCTTGCTTGATGTTTAGATTTATTTGGTTAGGTATTGTGGGTATGTCCCTGTGAGTCAAGTGCCTGAGGTTGGCTTCCCTGGAGCTGGAGTTCCAAGCAGTTGTAAACTGCCTCAGGGGTCCTGTAAGAGCTCCATGCTCCCTGGATTTGTAGTGCTGGACAGAGGGGTATGTGAGAAAGCTAAGTTGTAGCAAATGTCAAGACAGTGTATGTGATCTTTTGTTGCCATTATGCTGAGAACATCTGGTTCTTTGGTCCTCTCTGGTCCTGTTGGTAGTTGGGTCGCTAAGGTGAGGCCACTCCCACTGTATGGCTTACATTCCTATTGGGCTGCTATTTGTCGTTTTGTTTCCTGAGATAGTGTTAAACCATCTTCTCTGGCTGTCCTGGAACTTAGTATGGAGACCAGGCTGACCTCAGACTCAGATCTGCCTCCCTAGTGCTGGGATTAAAGGCGTGAGCTACCACCACTGGGCTCTCCTTGCTAAAGCTTCTGGAATTTTCTGTACCTTATATTTTTTTTCTTTTATTTCAGGAGTCGGAAAATTCAGATTCGGAATATTCCACCTCAGCTCCGATGGGAGGTAAGTGGGGTGTGCACAGTGGGTTGGGAGCAGAGACTGGACAGGGACGGGCTCTGTCCTTCTGAGTTGGTAGACATGACTAGAGAGTTCTTCCCTGGGTGTAGGGTTGGAAAGGTTGGAAGGGACTCATTTTCATTCATACCCTGGGGCAAGAGGCATTAAGGAGTAGGAAGAGTGCTTTCTGACTTTCAAGATTTCTGATGGCAGAAGTCTCAGTCTGCTTCACAAAGTCCTTTAGCAGCACAGAGCCAGGGACATTCTCTTGCAAACCCCAGGGTTGCCTTCAGGAGTAGGAATCTAAGGAGACGGAACCGAATTGATCAAAATGTCTAGTTCCTGCTGCTGTCCCAGAGCTTTGGGTCAAGGGATGTCCAGGCTCTGGAATACTCAGCCCTTCTCTATTTCTCCAGGTGCTGGACAGCCTGCTGGCCCAGTATGGTACAGTGGAGAACTGTGAGCAAGGTAAGACCCCAGGGATGAGTGAGCGTACAAGGAGTCGGGTGGCTTCACTGTTCTGTGATCATAGACCCCTGTGAAGACCCAGACAGCGTGCTGTAGCAGCGTGGTGCTGCAGTAGATGCGCTGGATAACTGGCCCCAGCATGTGCCCTACTGTGTGTGGAACCATGAAACTGTACTGCTGTGTAGTAGGCAGTCTTGGATGCCTCTCTCATTTTTCTGTTTTCAGTTTTTCAAGACAGAGTCTGTGTAATGCTGACTATCCTAAAACTTGGCGTGGATCAGGTTGGCCTGAACTCAGATCTATTAACCCCTGCTTCTTGAGTGTTGGGATTAAAGATGTAGGCCAGCACACCTCACTTCATCATCCTTTTTCAATGAGGAATCTGAGTCCCAGGCTTGCAGGATCGGTATTTCAGTAGAAGTTTAAGAATGGAATTTGGACTGGAGAGATAGCTCAGAGGTTAAGAGCACTGACTGCTCTTCAAGAGGTCTTGAGTTCAATTCCCAGCAACCACATGGTGGTTCACAACCATCTATAATGAGATCTGGCACCCTCTTCTGGCCTGCAGGAGTACATGCAAGAAGAACACTGTGTACATAATAAAAAATAAATCTTTTTTTTAAAAAAAAAAGAATGGAATTTGTAGCCGGGCACTGGTGGTGCATGCCTTTAATCCCAGCACTCGGGAGGCAGAGGTGGATCTCTGAGTTCAAGGCCAGCCTGGTCTGCAGAGCGAGTTCTAGGACAGCCTCCAAAACAATACAGAGAAACCCTGTCTCCAAAAACAAACAAACAAAAAGAATGGAATTTGTACTCTTGAGAGATAGAAGCAGGAGGATTTCTGAGTTTGAGGCCAGCTTGGTCTCATATCAGTCTCTAGGATTACTTGGGAGAGACCTCTTTTTTTTAACAAGGGGGAAGAAACTGGGGGGGGGGGGGTCACTGGAGAAATGGCTCAGAAGAGCATTGGCTCCTATTCCAGAGGTCCTGAGTTCAATTTCTAGCCACCACCAGCTCACAGCCATCTGAGATTTGCTGCCCTCTTCTGGTGTGCAGTTATACATCCAGGCAGAACACTGTATACATAATAAATTAAATAATTTGGTTTTTTTTCTCCCCCAAGACAGGGTTTCTCTGTATTGCTTTGGATCCTGTCCTGGAACTCACTCTGTAGACCAGGCTGGCCTCGAACTCACAGAGATCCGCCTGCCTCTGCCTCCTGAGTGCTGGGATTAAAGGCGTGTACCACCAACCCCTGGCTTAAATAAATAATTCTTAAAAAAATTTCCTGAGTGTAGCTGGTCTACAGAGCAAGTTCCAGGACAACTAGGCTACACAAAGAAACCCTGTCTAGGAAAAACAATAGCAACAAGGAAATCAAAAGCAACCAAAGAAAAGGAAAGGGGTGGCAGGAGGAGAGTGCTGGGGTGGTAGGTTGCTCCGTGATTAAGAGCACTGGCTACTCTGGTTTGATTTTCAGCACCCAAAGGCAGAAATCAATCCATCTGTAGTTACAGTTCAGAGGATCTGATGCCCTCTTCTGAAATTCAAGGGGAAATGCTGGCAGGACATCCATACACATAAAATAATAATAATTCAAACATTGTTTTAAAAATTCACCAAGCAGTAGGGTAGCGGTGGCACACACCTTTAATCCTAGCATTTGGGAGGCAGAGGCAGGCTGATCTCTTGAGTTTCTACAGAGTGAGTTCCAGGACAGCCAGGGCTACCCTGAGAAACCCTGGAACAACCACCCCCCTACAAATCCCCCAAACAACAGGGTTTATTCATTAATAATTTGCTTAGCCAAAAATCTTTTGACAAATTTACCTACAGAGAGAAGAGTAATAAGGAATTCTAAGCTACACAAAATTGTTTGTGATTTTGAGGGTTTTTATTTCTAGGAGTATAAACTCTTTTGCAGAGAAAATGGGCTGGGGTGATTTGGCTGGACACAGGGCTGTTACCCCCCCCCCACCACCCCCCCTTAAAGCTAACACATAAGAGCATTACATGTTCATGGGTGCCATGTGATGTATAGGGGTATCATGTCCTGCTTAAATAAGCATTTTAGCCTCCTTGCTTTGTCATTTCTTTTTGGTGAGAACATGCAATCTTGTCGTTCTCTGAAATACATAGTACAATGTGGTCCGTGACTGTCAAACCACACAGAAAGAAGCATCCTGAACTCCTGTCTGTCACTTGTCCACCAATCAGCTTCTCTTCAGACTTCCCTTCCCCGTCACTCTCCCACCGTCTGTTCTCAGTTGAGTGAGATTCCTTTCTCCTCCGTTCTCTTCCCTTCTCCTTTCCCTCTTTTCCCCTCCCCATTTCCTCTCCTCTTCCCTTCCATTCTCTCCATCTGTTTTCACGATCCTGAGAGCATGTGGTGACTTGTCCTTTAGATTTAGTTTAATGTAGTAATTCCTGGTTCCATCTATTCCTAGGTGAGGGGATTTCTTTTTTGTTTTCTTGTTTCTTGCTTTTAACTCTTAGTGCTCTGGTCTGTGTTGGGGTCAGGGAAGGTGAGTGAGTGCCTTCTGGACCACTTTAGATGCAGTGCATTTCTCCCTGTGAATAGTGCAGCAGCCACTTTTGGAAATCTTTAAGAAAACATTGATGACTCTGAGGTTTAAATATTCATTTCTAAATTCTTTGTGGGAAGAGGCAAACTGTGTTGACAGATTATTATAGACCCCGCCTGCCCAGCAGTGGAGTGCTGTTTTCTCTGCTTTAACTCTCTAACTTGCCTTTCATCTGAAATGCCAGAACACAGTGTAATTCGCAGATAGCTGTTGCCCAGTTCCTGCTTTTAGCGGGACTCATGAGTTAAATAGATCAGGGTGCCCCACTGAGCAGGCACCCGTCTGCCACCAAAGCAACAGGCCTAGTCAGGTTGACACTAGAACCCATGTGATGGATAGAGATAGCTGACTCCCCAAAGTTTACCTCTGACCTCTACACATCCGAACACACATAAGAAATAATTTAAAGTAGTTTAACAAAAATTAAAAAGGATTCCACAGATGTGCTCAAGGTTCTCACCAGCCCAATATGGCCTCAGACACGCTCCTGGTCAGGGTTTGCAGGCCTGCACCACCACACCCAACGTTTCAGTTTAGGTAGAGCCTTATAGTATGGTTCTGGGTGGCCTTACAGTTTGCCCAGGCTGACCAGGAGATCTGGCCATCCTTTATTCTCAGTGTGCTGGAATTACTAGTGTATGTCAGTTACTGATTTATTTGAGAAAGCTTCTCCCTCTACTTCAGGCTAACTTATTTTACAGTGTAACCAAAGCTGGTCTTCAGTATTGACAGTATTGCCTTCTGGCCTTCTGAGTGCCAGAATTGCAGGTGTGCACAACCACCCTCAACTACTTTAGTTTTTCTGAGACAGGGTTGCACTATGTAGGCTTGTGACTGGCTTAGAGCTTGCAGTGCAGACCAGGCTGGCCTTGAATTCATAGATATGCCTGCCTCTGCCTCCTGGAGCCAGGAGGGTGTGGGCTGGGTCTGAAAAGTTATCCTTTGAGCCCCCTTAATTTTTAGAAATCTTCTCTTATGTTTATTGAGCTTGTGTGTGTATGCGTACATTTGTCATGCCCTTTTTGTGGAGGTCAGGTGACAACTTGGGAGTTGGTTTTCTCGTGGATCCAGAGATAAGACTCAGCCATCTCACCAGTCCCTTTTTAAAAATTCTTATTTTTAACTTTCTGTGTATGGGTGTTTTGACTAAATCTGTGTTTCTGTACCATATGTATTCAGTGCCGGAAGAGGCCAGACCCAATTTCCTGGAAGTAGAATTGCAGGTTATAAGCCATCATGTGGATTCTGAGGAGTCCTGGGGAGGGCAGCTAGTGCTCTTAGCCACTGAGCCATCTCCAAGGTATTTTGAGGCAAAGCCCTTTTTTCTTTTCTTTTCTTCTTCTTCTTTTTAATCATCAGTACAGTTTTGAATTCCTGATCTTTCTGCTTTCTCCTTCCAATTGTTGAGACTGCAGGTGCACATCATAATGCATGGCCTGGGGCCCCTCCCCTTCTGCCCTCCCTCCCTCCCTTGGTCTCTCACCCTCTCCCTCTCTCCTATCCTTAGTTTTAGTCCTGCTGGTGAGGTGAGTTCAAGGTTAGCCTTAACTAAACAGTGAACTTCCAGCCAGCCTGAGCTATTGAATTAGATTCTGTCTCATAAAGCCAAAGGTAGAGGGTATAGGTCAATAGTAAAGTTGTATAGGATGTGCAAAAGCCAGTGATATAAAATTAATTAAAAGCAAGTCGATAATCAACAACAAACACAAACTCTTGGATGAGATTCATTCTTAGGACTCATAACTATGGTGGCCCAATGTATCCCGTGTCCACTCTCAAGATGCTTAGAATACTGGAGCCTGGAATTCCTTCTCTGGAAAATGTCTTTATGGATATCTGAGCTTAGAGAATGGATTTAGGTAGTCCTGACTCTTCTTCAGCCATTCAGGGAAGGAGACTCAGACCATTTTCTTGGCAGTTACTCTGTTGGGTTTTTTGTTTGTTTGTTTGCTAGTTGAACTTTCCCAGGGTAAGTTTGCCTCCAGAAAGAGGGAAAGGCTTCCCTAGCTTTGCTTCGAGTGAAGGGGATCTCTTTTCTGTGAGATGTTTTTTCACTTGTCCTTTGAGGACCTTATCCAAAGCTTGGGATAGTCTCCTGCTCACCCTCCTGACCTACACACTGGCTGGGTTTGTTGTCTCTACAGTGAACACAGAAAGTGAGACAGCAGTGGTCAACGTCACCTACTCCAACAGGGAGCAGACCAGGCAGTGAGTACCTCAGAAGTGAATTGGGTTCTATGGGTGGGGGGGTGGGTCGGTGCTGTAGGTGGGTCCAGGCAGGCTGGAAGCCTCAGCTGGCTTCTGATATTGGGGCCTTCATGTTTTGTTTCACAAATAAGAGGGAGGGGGGCAACTGACTAGGAGAGAAAATTGGCTTTGGGTACCCAGGAGTGCAGTGTCCTGTATGTGTCGATGGTGCCATCTTTTGGTTATGTGGGGGAACTGCCTCATTTGAAAAAGAAACCAAGATGGATCAAAACTGTGTTTGTTTTTTGAGACCTTAGTGAACTCCAGTTCACTTAGCAAAGGGCTACCTTGGACTCCTATTTTCCTACCCTCATTTCCTGAATGTTGGGCTTATAGGCATGGGTTGCTGCTTCTGAATCAAGTGTGTGGTGCAGGATAGTTAGGAGCCCAGCTGATGTCCCCACCCGATAGTCCCCACCACCACCACCACCACAGGTCCCAGCTCTTTAGCCATTAGGTCCTTAGGTTTAGCATTTACAGCTCTCACTCCCTGGAGTGGACAGATCATATGTTATGTATGTTGATTATTTATAGCTCTACCTGGCTGCCATAGGGTTTTGTCACATTTCCCCTTTTTTCCAATGGTCTTAAAAGCATGAGGCCTTGCTGAATCATTTAGTGTCTTCTCTCTTATAGAACTGGATAGTTCCCTAGAGATGGTGGGGTGGCACACAGGCGGTTATCTCCCCACCATCAGTGTGTCCCCAGTGTATTCCCAGCTGTAACCCAGTAGGTGCTTTGTGGAAGGAGGCACGAGGCACTGGATGTTGCAGTGACCACTGGACTTCCTCTCTGTCCCCAGAGCTATTTTGAAGTTAAATGGCCATCAACTGGAAAACCATGCCCTGAAGGTCTCATATATACCTGATGAGCAGATAGCTCAGGGTCCTGAGAATGGGCGCCGTGGAGGCTTTGGCTCTCGGGGCCAGCCTCGGCAAGGATCACCTGTGGCAGCAGGAGCCCCGGCCAAGCAGCAGCAAGTGGACATCCCCCCTCCGGCTCTTGGTGCCCACACAGTATGTAGGTGCTATCATTGGCAAGGAGGGTGCCACCATCCGCAACATCACCAAACAAACCCAGTCCAAGTGAGTACTGGGAAAGGGAGGCTGGGGAACAGTGGGGGCCTGGAGAGAGAGAGGCTCCTGGAAAAAACAGTTGGTATAGGTGTCGGTACTTTTCTCCTGGGAATCGTTGCTTTAGCATGGTGGTCAATATTGCCAGTGTTGCTTAGAAAATTACTTATTTACTTGTAGTTGAGACAGTGTGTCTCCCTAGTACAAGGACACTAAAGGGGGGGGGGGGGGCGGGAAACAGTTGCATAGCCACACACAGCCTGGGAGTGTCCCCACCCAACAGCTGTGAGGTGGACTGCATTGTCCTCTTCAGCCACAGAGGCCGTTAGGGCAGCACCTGGCCATGGTTCCTTGGCCCCTTCTTTACTTTCCTGGTTCTATACATTTCCATGTCTCTGGTTGACAAGAGGTGGGGCAGTCAGTGTTATTGGAGACAACTGACCAGCCTTATCCTTGTGGTCCTCAGGATAGACGTGCATAGGAAGGAGAATGCAGGAGCTGCGGAGAAGGCCATCAGCGTGCACTCAACGCCTGAAGGCTGCTCCTCGGCATGCAAGATGATCTTGGAGATAATGCACAAGGAGGCAAAGGATACCAAAACGTAAGCTCCAATTGTACTTCAGTGACTGCTGCCACCCCCACCCAACCCCCGTCCTCTCCCCTTTTCTGTGCTATGAGTCAAGCCAGCAGATTCTTGGCTACTGAGCCACATCCCAGTCTTTACTCTAAATTATTAATAACAATGACACAGAGTTCAGGAGAGAGTCACAAAATGGACAGAAAACATAGAAGCTGGGACATAAGAGCTTTCTCTTGTATAATCTAGGAATTTTATTATGTACTCTGTTTCTGTTTGTGTCATATATATGGATACGTATGTGTTTGAGTCTCCATAGATGGAGTATGTTAGTTGAGTGTGCATGTGTGTCAGCACAGGTGGTCAGGCTGAAATGCTGCTCTATCTTGTTATAATATTTTGTGTCACTACATCTATCAGTAAATATAAAGCCACCGCAGAGAGAGAAGTGACACAGTCTTTGAAATATAGTCCAGTAGCATGAAGTAGATGCCTACATATGTGAGGATCTGGGTATGGGCCCCACTAATGCAAAAAAGTATAGGTGATTTACTTACACCACTTTTGGTGTGGGTATTTGAGGCTGGATCTCACTGTATCTCAAGATAACCCTGAACTCCTATAACCCTGCCTCCTGAGTGCTGACCCCTCCCTCCCTCCCTCCCTCCCTCCCTTTCTCCCTCCCTCCCATGTGCACCAATGTTTTGCCTGCATGTATATGTCTTTTTTTGTGGTAAGGTTTTTCTGTGTAGTCCTGGAACTCATTCTGTATACTATGCTGGTCTCAAATTCAGATGATACACCTGCCTCTGACACCTAGGTGACGTGGGCCACTACCACCCCACTCAGGTGCTATTTCTTGATGTAGTTTTATTGGCGTTCACTTAGTACAATAATGTTAACAGACAAGTTGCCTAGAGTAACTGGGGCTGTGGCACATGCTACCATATCTGGCTTAATTGTGTTCTTTCCCGTTTGTGTTCCCTCAACCCCCTTCACCTTGGGTGAACCTGGGCCTTATGCAAGCTGGGTAAACAGCTCAGCTAAACCCTAAAACTATTGCACCTGCCTTTTGTGTGTGTGGTTGGTAATTTTTCGAGTGTGCAGTTTGGGTTTCATTTGTATATATGGCAGTATCTGTTGAAACCATTTTGGGAGCTTTGGCTCCCAAATTTTCATCCTGCCTTCTTCAGTCCATTCTCACCCACCATTTCTCTGTAATCTTCTGACATTTGATTTGTGTGCTTTGTCCTGCGTTTGTTGTGGATGACCTCATGGTTGAGTCTTTGTTGGCATTATTGACCCGGCTGTCACCTATTTCCTCCTTAGGGCAGATGAGGTTCCCCTGAAGATCTTGGCCCATAATAACTTTGTGGGGCGACTCATTGGCAAGGAAGGGAGGAACTTGAAGAAAGTTGAGCAGGACACAGAGACAAAGATCACCATCTCATCGTAAGACTTTCCTTGGTTCCCTTTAAGGAGTGGTGAGCACAGGGGTGGGGTACCACGGATTTCATCACTGAGCCTTAGCACCTGCCTTCTAAATTGGGCACCGCTTCTGCGCATCTCCAGGAAAGCAGGCAGCCAGGGTGTGAGCTTTAGATATGTCTGTCACTGTGAGAGGTGTACAGACCTTGGTCCTTTTCAGCCTGGGGGCTCTGGGCTGCCTCTGACCAGTACGGGTTAGCTATTTGTAAGCATCCTGCCTCCATTCACATCCTTGGAGACTGTAAGCATCCTGCCTCCGTTCACGTCCTTGGAGACTGACGGTGCCTGGGAAAACAGTAAAGCACAGCCGGCAGCACAGCCATTCTGCATGCGTGGCGACTGCATCTTGACAATAGGTTCTGTTTCCACTGAAGGCTTTTCCTCGTTGTCCTGTGCTCCTTGCCCTGGTTACCTGAGGCAAGACAGCCTTTAGAAATGCTGGCCCTTTAATTTAGGAATGACATTGTCCCTAGCTGGGGCCTGGTCCCACTCCTGCATTGCCTACTGCTTAACATTGCCCTGCTCTCCTGCCAGGCTCCAGGATCTCACTCTCTATAACCCTGAGAGGACCATCACTGTGAAGGGGGCCATTGAGAATTGCTGCAGGGCTGAGCAAGAGATCATGAAGAAAGTTCGAGAAGCCTACGAGAATGATGTAGCTGCCATGAGCGTGAGTGAGAAGTGGCACCCTTCTGTGTTAGTTGCTGGGAGTTGAGTCTAGGCCCTGGAGATGGCAAAGTCTATACCCCTGACTATGTCCTAGTCCCTCCTTAGCACCCAGCAAGGGCAGCAGCAGACAGGGTGGCCAGCATAACCTTAGAGCATCACTTTTGTGTGAGTGTTTGCCTGCATGTATGTGTGGACATCACGTGCATCCCTGGTTCCCACCAAGGTCAGCTCACCTGTGCCTCCTCTCTCCAGTTGCAGTCTCACCTCATCCCTGGTCTCAACCTGGCTGCTGTAGGTCTCTTCCCAGCGTCATCCAGTGCGGTCCCACCACCTCCCAGCAGTGTCACTGGGGCTGCTCCCTATAGCTCCTTCATGGTAGGTGGAAGGTCTTATTACTGGGGGCCTATGGGAGTGTGGGAGCTGAGTGCATTGGTTAGATGGAGGGAAGAGAGAATGCCAGCTACAAGGAAAGCAGCCCAGCCCAGATAGCACCTGCGGTGGTGGCAGCAATTTTCCACTTGATTTTGCTTCCCTTTAGCTGGATGAGAGCTAAAAAGAGTCCGTGGTAGCCTTCCATGGCCTAGAGTATAAGGCAGCAGGATGGAGGGGCTCCTGGGTTCTGCCTCGCCCTACTCCCTGGTCCTTTGGTAAGGAGTCCCCTGTCCTGGCAGCAGGCTCCGGAGCAGGAGATGGTACAGGTGTTCATCCCCGCCCAGGCTGTGGGCGCCATCATTGGCAAGAAGGGGCAGCACATCAAACAACTCTCACGGTTCGCCAGCGCCTCCATCAAGGTAATTTGCTCTGAATTCTCCCAGGTCTAGTGTGAAAACTCCAGCTCCCTTCACACTTTGGGGAATGAAAGCCCAGTCCCTGTGGGTGTCTTCACTACTTCTAGCTAGGTTTCTAGGCTATATGAGAAGCAGTATAACACAGCAAGCTGAGATGTTCTAAACCAATACCCCCGCCACCTGCTGGATTCACTTTCCACGTGTGGGATGTAGGAAGCAGGCAGTGCCTAGGAGTGAGCACTATATCTGTGCTGGTTGTCTTAACCTCCCTGCATCCAGAATCCAGGAGGGTAAGGGACTCTAATCACGAAACCAGTGCTGTTGTTGGTCCTACGGGTCCAGATGGATGGGTTTCATTCTATGGCGTGTAACGCTTTGTGATTCCCTCCCTGATCCCAAGAGAGGTGAAACCTCTACCTTCTCTATGTAGTCATCTCATAACTTACAGCCTCTTGGCAGCACCCTGCTTAGACTCTCTCTGGGATGGTGGTGGGGAGCAGTCCTGTCGCTGAGGCAGGTCCCTCTACCTGTTGCTTATGCTGTCATCACAGGTCTTGTGTACATACAGGAACTTGGATTTGAGGCTTTTTGTTCTTCCCCTTCTCAGAATGGGCAATGGGAGGGTATTAGAGGGGATGGAGATGCCTTCATCTTCCTCTGGAAGCAACTCCCTCTGACCAACTGTGTCCTTTGTAGATCGCACCACCGGAAACACCTGACTCCAAAGTTCGAATGGTTATCATCACTGGCCCCCCAGAGGCACAATTCAAGGTTTGATCTATATTGCATTTCTATGATGGATATAGAGAACTGAGGTTGGGAACTTAAGAGAGACTGGGTCCTGGGTAGCTTTCTAGGCACTCAAGGAGCATGAGTTTGTTGCCATTCATGGTTGTCATTACTGGTTATTGCCACATCCTGGAACCTGTAAGTGTGGTACATCCTTTGAAGTGTCTATTCATTTCTGTCTTTAGGAGGGAGGTGGGAAGAGATTAAGGCAGGGTCTCAGTGTGTAACTCTACTCTAGCTGGCGCCGAACCAGGTCTGCAGGCCAGGTTGACTATGAACTTGTGATTCTCTTGCCTCTGTAATACTGCCATACTTATTTACTTGTGGGTCATAAGCTGAGGGTCTCAAGCATTCCAGATAATCAGGAAACCTGCCTTAGCTGGTTGGTCCTCCCTGGTAGAGTTCTGGCACTTGGATGGAAAAGATTGAACCCGAGCCTTCCACCATGACTGCTTTTAACCATAACTACTTCTCCCTAGGCTCAGGGAAGAATCTATGGCAAACTAAAAGAAGAGAATTTCTTTGGTCCTAAGGAGGAAGTAAAGCTGGAGACCCACATACGGGTGCCAGCTTCTGCAGCTGGCCGGGTCATTGGCAAAGGCGGCAAAACGGTGAGCTCCCAAGGCTGGAAGCTCCAGGCCTTGCTCTCTGAAACCCACCCTTTTGTCTGGCTTTGTTACTTTTACCCTCATTTGTCACTGACTCGATTCTGTTTCCCTGGCCCAGTGCCATTCACCTACCTCTCACCACTTCTGGTCCTACAGCGGTTTTCTTTTCTTGTGCTATCTTAAACCCAGGACCTCATGCACTGAAACAGAGCATCCATCTACCCCTGAGTTGCCCTCCTCTCCCTATGCCTCTCATTGCTGGCACTCTGAGCCTCTCTCTGACTGTCCCACCCCTAGGTGAATGAGCTGCAAAACCTGACTGCTGCCGAGGTGGTAGTGCCAAGAGACCAGACTCCGGATGAGAATGACCAAGTCATTGTTAAGATCATCGGGCATTTCTATGCCAGCCAGGTGTGTAGCATGCTCTCTTACTTTCAGAGGACTCTGGAGCCGGGGTCAGGGAAATGAGGGCTGGGATGTGAACCTGGGTCCTCTGGAAGAGCAGCCAGTGCTCTTAACTGCTGAGCCATCTTTCCAGCCCCAATGGAAGAAAATTTCAAGAATGAAAGTGGAGGACCGATGGCCTCCAAAACAATACAGAGAAACCCTGTCTCGTAAAAACCAAAAAAAAAAAAAAAAAAAAAAAAAAAAGTGGAGAACTGTCCCGTTACTGTTTGGTATCCTACATCTGGGCATCTTTCTCCCACTGTTTCACTGCACAGTAGTTTAAAGTGGTGGGGGTTTTTGTTTGTTTGTTTTTGTTTTGTTTTGAGCCAGGGTTTCTCTATCTTGAACTCAGATCCACCTGCCTTTGCCTCCTGGGTACTGGGATTTAAAGGTGGTATGCACCACCACTGCCTAAAGTGGTTCCTTCTAATGTGTGATCGGGGCATCATGAAATGTACTTATAAGTTCCATTTCAGCTTCGATAGCATGTCAGAGTGTAAGAAAGATACTTCTTACAGAAGGAACTCTTTTCTCACACAGACATCGCGCGCGAGCACACACACACCTTGACTCAAGTCAGTCCCCCCCCCTCCTCCCTGACTCAGGTCTTTCTCCATTCAGTAGAGGCTGTTGTTGGTATGGTATGGGAAGTGTTTCTCCTTGGAGGTCCTCATCCTCCTCATCCTTGCCTGTTCCCAATACAGATGGCGCAGCGGAAGATCCGAGACATCTTGGCTCAGGTTAAGCAACAGCACCAGAAGGGACAGAACAACCAGGCTCAGGCACGGAGGAAGTGACCCCCCCTCCTGTCCCATTGGCTCCAGATCAGCAGGCAGAATGCAGAACTGGAGGGCAGAGGGCCAGTGTGCTCTTCCCAGCAGGCCTGAGAATGAGTGGGAATCGGGCTTTTGGGTCTGGCTGGAGATCAGGTTTGCCCACTGTCTTGAGAAAAATGTTCCAGTGAGGAACCCTGATCTCTCGCCCCCAATTCATTCAGCCAGGTGCCCACCATGACCCACCCCTTGGAATGTCACTATTGCAGTTGTGGCTTGGGTTGCTTTTAAACGTGGATTGTTTTGAGGAGTCCTCCAATCTCCATCAGAAAGATGGGTCAGATCCCAGTGGGGAAGAGAAATAAAATTTCCTTCAGGTTTTATAAACCTCAAAGGATAGTTTGTTTCTTGACCCCAGAATCTTTCTAACCTGACTTCTTGGTTAATTGATGAAAATTCTTCCCATTCTTAATGCCTTGACCAATACCTTACTGCTTCCTGTATTCATTTACACTGTTTTAGCCTTGTGACTATGGGGGTAGGGGTGGCTGGGCCACAGCTTTGTTTACAATATTAACTCTGTGGAGAACACTTGTCATCAGTGCTTTAATCCTGATTCTTCCTCAATCTACCAGTGGGAACAGCAAGATAGAAAGGAGAGAGATAATAAAAAATATATACTAATCCACGTTTAAAAGGAGCCCTCAGCTGAGGATAGAGCCCAATGGTCAGAGTGCTTGCCTGGCATGTTCAAGGCCCTGGGTTCCATCCTTGGCATCACAAAAAGGAAAAAACAGCTTGCCCTTATGGGCGAGCTATTGCAGATCACCATATAGAAAAATTGGCACAACAGAAATTTCTCTTGGTCAGCTGGGGCTTCCTCACCAAGACTCCCCGTTATGTTTATGCCCATCTAAGCCTTCGTGGTGCCTGGTACACATGCGTGGTACCTCATGCTCAGCAGGGTGAGGACTGACCACTGTCCCTGATTCCTATCATTCTCAGGCGGATTTTATATTTTTTTAAAGTCTATTTTAATGATTGGATATATGAGCTCTGGGAAAGGGGGTGTAAGCTCCCTTTGATAATGTCTCAGTTCCATGGAGGAGTTGAGTAGTCCAAAGGTGCTCTCGCTCCAACCCATGTGCTCTTATAAGGGCTGAGGCAGGCATTGAGTTGTATTCCCCACCACAGCACTGTTTCCTTGTGGTGGTGGGACCTACAACCCAACCCTGGGCTCCTGATAAAGCTTCAAGCCCACCATCTGGCAAACTTAGTAAATTGGAGAATATTGCTTCTGTTTTTATTGTAGAGGAGTATTTAACTGACTGCTATGCCTCCATGAATTGTCATTATAAAAGGCATGCCTGAAAACTTCGTAATACCAGCAGCATTATGCACAAAGGGGTGAACACACTTAATTTATTAATTTGACAGGCTCAATAAGATCCTGTTGGAAGTTAAGCCCTTATGGAGGACAGTGGCCATCAGTTAAGTGAGGCTAGGCCTCCCCTCCTAACAGTGTACTGATTGATTGTAATGCATTTAGCCAGGTGATGCACTTTAGCTACCCTGGACAATACTATCAAGTGTGCTGGGAAGAAAGGAGGGCCTCTTTCTGCATGTGGAAAAGCCCATGCACAGAGTTCCCCTCTTCCTGACATTGCAAGGACAACAGTGACAAAGCAACCATGATGTGTGGGCGGAGTCAGGCAGTACTGTGCTAAGTAAACTACCTCAAGGTGTGACGTTACCTCAGCAATGATTTCCTTTTGTTCCCTAAACCCCCGTTTTTAATTTTTGTTTTTTTCTTTGATTTTTTTTCTTTGCGGCTTGCTGATATTTTATATAAAAAAGAAGAGCAAAAGAGAAGCTGATAGTCTTGAATATTTTATTTTTTTAATGAAAAGAAAAAATGAGAAAGTTATGTTTCATAATTTCTTACAACATGAGCCAGTAACTCTTTAGGAGCTCTGTGGAGAACAGGCCCTGTGGGGAAAGGTGGGGACTGGACCCAGGGGAGAAGTGGATAACCCCAAAGGGGTCCAGGCCCAGGACCTTGCTGGGTTCTGATCTCTGGCCTTGAAATATTAAGATCAAACAGAGCTTGGACCCTTGGGGACCAAACAGCAGTGTCCCACTAACCAGATGGCCTGTGGGCACCCCTCCCTCTCCTGTGGTGAAACAGTACCTTAGCTGGAGTTTCCCACCAGTGGTGCTGTTATTATTTTAAGATATTGCCTCCGTTTTATCGAGGAGAGAAATAATAACTAAAAAATAGAACCTTTTAAGAAAACCTGTATTTCTTTAAAAAATATGGGAGCCAAGATTCCGTTAATGGGAGAAAGACAAGGCCACCCTCTCGCCCTTCGAGAGGCTCACCTGGTTTCTCGATGTCCGTTTTTATTTTTTGGTTATTGTTTCATTTCCATCCCACCTTGCTATTCTTAGTCTGGATCATTCCTAGACTACAAGGCAAGCAGATGGTCAATGACTGCCCTCTCCCATCTCCCTGTCTTCTTTAGGTTGATGTGGTTGATACTAAAAGTGGACTTGTTAGGTAGGAAATTTGTGATTTAGGGTGGTGGGGTAGCCAAGAGGGAAGGGGAATGGTGAGCATGATTGGGACAGGTCTTGCTTTGGTATGATCTTACCACATGGCCCCTGTGACAGCCCCTCATAGCCTCCAGACCATCTAGTTCAAAAGTCTTTAGGGATGGTAACAGGCCTGTCCCAGACACAAAGAAAGAAAGGGTCTCCCAACATCCCATCTGGCTCTACATGCTTTGTCCCCAGACGAAGCTGACAATGTTCAGACATCGGCCATTTAGTGATTTAAAAGTGGATTTCTTGCAGCAAGCATGCTTTGATACCTGGTTCAAGTGATCGTGGGGGAGGGGGAATCCCACAGTACCTGAAATGAGATTGTTGGAGTGTTGCATTCCTTGGGGCCTGCTCCCTTCACACCTTAAGCCCAAGTCCTTTGGCTGATGGAGCTCCCAGAAGAGATCAGAAAGTGCGGCAAGGGACCCAAAAACTTACACGGATCAGGCAAGGTTCACTTGTAGGTGAACTTGCCCAGCAGGAAGATTGTGAAAGTTGGCTTACTCAAAAGAATAATAGTGATCAGGGGCCAGAGGTCAGCGGGAAGGAAGAACTTGGCCTATCTTGGGTTATCCTGTGACCTGAAGCCCGGGTCTTAGGGCTGCTCCTTGCCTTGCTTGTCACCCTTTCCGCATCCTAGGTGAGGTAGCATACCACTACAAAAAGCACTTGGGAGATTTGGGTGGAACTGAAAAAAGCAACTTTTAGAAAAATGCTCCCATGCCCTAAGGTGTATGTACATAGAGAGGTGTGTGTGCGCGCGCTCGCTACACGTGTGTTTTTATGGAAGGACCATCTCTTTAGGGTCTGTTCTTTTCTCAATTCTTTGAAACACATCAAAAGAGCCAAATGGTTTCATCCACTGACCTACTTTAGCCTGCGCCTGCCGCTCATACCACAGGGCCTTTACCTCCCTTTGGGATCTGGTTGCCTTTTGCAATTCCAGTTGTGGACTCAGTTGTTGAGGGGGCTAGGCAGGAGAGAACCATAGCTGAGGACAGGGAAGCTGTGTGGTCCTTGACTCTTCTCTGGTCCTTTGTTTTTCATTAATTCTCCCTGAACTCTCCATTCTTGGGGAAAGCTCATGCCTCACTGTTGGCCGAAGAGACCCCATGTAAAAACCCAGAGGACACAGGAGCACGATGCTCTAGTTGGTTTTGTGTGTCCCGTTTCCTTTGTGCCAAAGACAGACAGACAGAGGCTGAGGCTGTTTCTGAGACAAAAGCAGTGGCTGGCCATCTTTGTACAACTCCTGGGCCTGTCTGCTAGGGGAGGGGCCTGGAGACAGTGGAAACTAAAGACTAGGACCCACTCCTCTTAAGCTCCAGGGATTTGTGGGTGGTGCTTGCCAAGGGCGAGGGAAGGGGAAAGGGTCCTTTGGCCCCCTGTTGCACTTTGGGGAAGGAGGGAATATTTCAGGCTCCTTGCAGGACTGCTCTCCTCCCCTGTCCCCACCGCAGAGATGGCACCGTGAAGTTCCCTTCAGGCCTGGCAGACTGGTAGTGAGGAGGGGCCTCAGTTAGCTCTCAAGGGTGCCTTCCCCTCCTCCCTTCCCAGACACCCTCTGCCAAACTGGGAACCATCAGTGCTACTAACTACCTCAGCCCCAGAGGGCGCCAAGCCTAACTGAGCCTCAGGAGGAGCTGGTGCCTTCAGGCACCTCTTCTCCCCCTCACTTGGGGCGAGGTCTCCTTTCCCTAAGTGTTGTGGGGGAGATCCTAGTGGCTTTGCCATTCAAACCACAACTGTTTTGCTGATTGTTGAGAACCAATAGAAGGAAAACAGCTCCGCCTGACTGGACATTGTAGGAAGACTGACAAGAACTCATCATCGCCAGGGGATGTAAAAGCCATTTTTCCTTCCAGATACTCGATGTTTTAGGTGCAGAATGTTTCTCTTGTATTTAGACGTAGAGTAATACCAGCTGAAACTCCCTGTTTCTTTCCTTTGGATACGTCTCTGAGAGTACAGGATATGGGAGAGGCCGCATGCCCCAAGGTTCTGGGGGCGGCCAAAGCCTCAGCCTTGCATGGTCTGATGGCACCATTACTGATGACCTCAAATGGTTCAATCTGGACTGACAGAAGAAGAGCATTTGTTTTTCTTACATAGCAGGAAGCTCCTGGAGCACCATGTTTTTCGTAATCACAGATGATGAATGCTACGAGTGTAAATGGATGATCTACCTCAGTCCTTACAATAAGATTGGAAATAAGGGCAGGGACTCATGCATGAGGGTATGAATCCCAGCCAGAAGAGTTGAGGCTTATGACACAAAAGGTTTGTCTTGGGGATCGGGTAGGCCTGCCAGGACCCCCACTCACATCGGTCGGGTTGGCAGGGTTCGTCATCTCGTCCGGTCCCCCCTTTTCTGCTTTCCCCACCCATGCTTCACACGTTTCCCTCCAGCTGTTCCTTCTTTGACCTGCTTTAGCTTAGACGGACCAGCTGGTGAGGAAAGGTATGGGCTCTTTCTTCCCTTAGAGCTGCCCAGAGGTGATTCTAGGGCTGACCTGGAGTCCCTCATTCAGCCCCCACATTCTAAGTCCTAGAACCAGGGTCTCTTCAACAGGGTTTCTTGAAGATCCTCTACCTCCACTGAGTCCCGCTTCTCCGTAGGGGCGCAGTTGGTTGTGGGGGGAGAAGAGATGGAACGGGATCCTTTGTCCTGGGCCAGCCTCGTCTATCAGGCTCGCTCAGGCCATCTTTGTAGTTGGGGAATTCCACTGGGTGACCTAGCCCTTCCCCACCCTCTAAAGGACCTTCTAGAAGCCCCATTTCACTTTTGTTTTTTATCTACCTCTTAGCAAAACAATATAGAGAAATTAGGTAGTGGCAACTCAACTTAGGTTAGGGGGGGAAAAGGTTTCTTTTTCCAAAGGAAAAAATATTACCTTAAAAATTACTTTCCAAAAAATATTAAAAAATTAAAAACCAAAAAAAAGTCTTTGAAAGGAGGGAGACAATTTCTGGTAACCAATGGATTGATTTCCTGAATAGTTTTCCCCCCAATCATGATTATCACTTTTTGGCAATCTTTTTCACTTACGACGACGTGGTAGCTATGAACAGTTACTGCTTTGCCGGTGTGCTCCTTGGCTTGTCACATCCCCACCCCATGGCTGCCAGTGAGACCCACCTGTGCTTCCTGTCACTACTCTCCTAACCAGGTGACTTCAAGACCACAAGAAGGAACACTGGGTTGGGGCGATTCAGTCCTGACTCAGTATTTCCTCTTGGCGGGTGGTTGGGGACCACTGGTAACATTGTAGTTTTAGGTGAACCACTGCTAATAAGTGCATTTGAGATGAATTTAAGTGCATTATCGATTAGCATAATGAATAAACATCACTACTTGGAGTCTCCCTTCAGAATCTTATTCTGGTTCCCAAAACCAGAGTAAAGTCAAAAGAGCCCGCCTGCTCCCCTAAGACAAAGTGGATTGATGGCGGTCCTAAGACAGCTTCCAGTGAGGAGTTAAGCTTTCTGAGTGGAAATCTGGGAGGGCTGCTGCTTGTGACTGCTCTGCTCTGTAATCAGGACAACTTTGAAATTGTAGAACCCTGCCAGCTGTCACAACCCTGAATCTGATGTTCCCTCTCCCACCCTTATCTGTTCTTGAAGCTGGGGGGAGGTGGGCACCTGGCTCGGACTTGGCACGTTTGTTCTTTCAATGGATGAGCACCCGGGGTCCTTCCCGGTGAATGTTTCAGCCACAAAGCAATTCCATTCCACTGTTTCCATCTCAAAATAAAATGAAACTTATATTGAAAACCGAGTATGTTTGTTTCTAAAAAAGGGGCTCTTGGAGTCTGGGAGGGCTCCAGTTGGCATTCCAGATATATGGATGATAACATCATACCTGGCCAGGGCTCAGCTTCGGATGGCTAAGTTCTGGATAGGAGCAAATCTACCTATCAGCCACTTCTCTTTTGTTTCAAACCTGGCTTGCTTTGTTTCCTGAAAGGTGTTTTTTGTTTTATTCTCTTGCTGTACCATTGTAACTTGTCACTTGATTCCTTCCCTTTGTTCTTAACTATAGTTGCCTTGTTTGGCAACCCCAACAGAACTATTACCATTCATAGAGTATAGCTCCAAATCTGTTTTGTTTCTATGACCTGAGCTATTTTTTGGACTCATCCACATCTACCCCATCAATTCAGTAGTTTCTAGCCCATTAGGGGACTTGAGGCCCCTGGAGAAGGGCACTCAGTGACTTTGATGTGGACACCATGGGTTTGCCCTGTAAGCTTTTAAGATCTGATTTGTTTTACCTGGAGCTTCCTGGCCCATCTGTGGACAGTCCTGCAGAGGGCAGGGGACTTGTCCATTGAAGGTTACATGAATACAGCCCATCTTTTCTGCCTCTTTGAGCTACAGAGTTCCGCTGAGCAGTCCTGGAACCTGCTGTATAGACCGGGCTATCCTGCCTCTGCCTCTCAAGTGCTGAGGTTACAGCTGTCTCACACACACACACACACACACCTGGCCCTTTTGTCCATCCTTCAATTTGAGTTAAGTCCTAAGTTTACAAAGTGAGCAATGGTACTCCCAGTTCTGGAGGGCAAATTTATCACCTGAGATATTGACAAGAAGGAATTAACACTGGTTCTCAACCTGTGGGTCGAGATTCCTTGAGGGGGGTCATCTAAGACCATCAGAAAACAGATATTTATATTACAATTCGTAACAGCTAAATTACAGTTATGAAGTAGCAATAAAATTTTATGGTTGGGATCATCACAGCATGAGGAACTGCCTTAACGGGTCACAACATATGGAAGGCTGAGAACTACTGGACTAACAAACAGAGAAGTCCACTGACCTGAAGAAACCAGATGAACAAACATTCCAAGAAATGTTGCTAGTGGCCTACTCCTTTAGTTCCAGTACTTGGGAGGCAGAGTTGAGTAGATCTCTTTAGTTCAAGACCAGACTATTTTACATAGTTCTAGAACAGCCAGAACCTTATGGTGAGACTCTGCCTCAGAAAGAATACCCCTAGTCCTATTTATTTCATGTGTATGAATATGTTAGCTGCATGTAGGTATATAAACTACATGTGTGCCTGGCACCCATAGAGATCAGGAGAGGGTGTTAGTTCTGAAACTGGAGTTAAGGATGTTTGTGAGCCACTACATAGATGCTGGGAGTCAAACCTGGAGTTAAGGATGTTTGTGAGCCACTATATAGATGCTGGGAGTCAAACCTGGGTTCTCTGAAAGAGCAACAAATGTTCTAAACCACTGACGCATCTCTCCAGTCAACTTTTGAGTGTGTGTGTGTGTGTGTGTGTGTGTGTGTGTGTGTGTGTGTGTGTGTGTGTACACACATGAGCACCCATGCACATGAATACAAGTGCTCATTGGAGGCCAGGAGCTTTGGATCTGCTGGGCCTGGATTACAAGCAGCAATAAACTGCCTAATGTTACCATCTTGGTAACTTTCTTATGATTGTTAATACAGAGTCTCTTTACATAGCCCTAGTTGTCCTGGAACTCAATGTGTAAATTTGGCTGACCTCAAACTCACAGAAACCCTCCTGCCTCTGCCTCTGAGGCTGGATTTTTTTTTTAAATTTTAATAAAAGTTACACTCTTGGGAGTGGTTTGCACAAAGCCTATAATGCTAAGACTGGAGAGGCAGAGGCAGGCTGATTTCTATGCATTTCAGGCCAGCCTGATCTATATAGATAGAGTTCCAGGACAGCCAGGGCTGCATAGAGAAACCCTGTCTCAAATTACATTTATTTACTTACTGTGCAGGGGGTTGGGTGGGGTGGGGTAAATCAGAGGATGACCTTTGGGAATATTTTTCCTTCCACTGTGTGGCTCCCGGTGATTAAACTTGGGCGGTCAGGGTTAGGGAAAAGTACCTTTATCTGCTGAGCTGTCTTGCCATCTCCCAAACTGGTTTTCCAATGAACTCCTTTCACTTCTTCCTCTGGTGTAACTGGTACATTTTGCTTTTTTTCGAGACAGGGTTCCTCTGTATTGTCTTGGAAGCTGTTCTGGAACTCACTCTGTAGACCACACTGGCCTCAAACTCACAGAGATACACCTGCCTCTGCCTCCCGAGTGCTGGGATTAAAGGCGTCTACCACCATTGCCCAGCTATGTTGTGGGATCTTATTGGAATACTGGTAGGTGCTACTGGAGTTGGGTCCTAAAGAGACCCTGGCATCTAGAGGGTTAACAGGAGTCAACGGAGACTTGAACAGGGATGACAAGTTCAATGGGATTTTCAGAGGCAGGAGATGAAGGAGGCCAAAGGCAGTGGCAGGCATGGAACATGTTGAGACTCTGTAGGGTGGCCATGCCTCAGGAAACAAGCTCATGGGCTGAGCTGCTAGGTGAGTCTGGAGCACACAGGAAGAACCATGGTTAGAGCTCAGATACCATTTCAGCAGTAGGCACCGTCATTTCCCATTGCTCTCAGTGCTGTTTATCTGTGTTAGTTATTGTTGTATTGCTGTAAGGAGACACCATGGCCAAGACAACTTAAGAAAGCGTTTAATATTGGTACTTACAGTTTACAGTGTTAGCGTAGCAGACAGGCATGGCGCTGGAGCAGTAGCTGGGAGGGAGAGGAAGAGGATGTGTGTGCCTGGGCCCGCCATGGGCTTTAAAGCTTCAAAGCCCTCCCCTAGTGGACACACCAGAAGGCCACACCTGCTAGCCCTAATAATCCTCAGGTGGTTCTGTGCCCTGGCGACTAAACATTCAGACATATGAGCCTGTGGGGGCCCTTCTCATTCAGACCACCACCACAATATCAGGAACTGTGGTAAAGCTTTCTTCCACTGCCAAGTCTCATCTGTGAGGCCGATTCATGTCAAATACCTGGTTTGTAGAATATGACTTTTTCCTTTTTCATGTTCTGGTGTTCAGGCTTTGGGCTTTGGGCATGCTAGGCACATATTACTGACCTACATTTCTCACAAAATATCTGTCGGTCTGTCTATCTATCTGCCTGTCTATTTGTTGTCTATCTACATTTCTCACAAAAGACATTCTTAATATTTATTTATTTGTTTATTTATTTTGAGACAGGGTTGCTCTGTTATGTACTTCTGGCACCTTTGCCTGCTGGGCCGTCTAACCAGCTCTTACAAATGCACCTCTTAAGATAGCTTTGGTTGCATGCTACAGAAACTGACCCCCTTACCCCCAGACAGGGTTTCTCTGTGTAATAGCCTAAGTTGTCCTGGAACTAGCTCTGTAGACCAGGCTGGCTTCGAATTCACAGAGATGCAGCTGCCACTGCCTCCTGAGTGCTGGGATTAAAGGCGTGTGCCACCACCACTGCTGGGCCTGCATGCCCTAGAATCTTGTTGTTTTGGTTTGGTTTTTTGAGACAGAGTTTCTCTGTGGCTTTGGAGCTTGTCCTGGCACTTGCTCTGCAGACCAGGCTGGCATCGAACTCACAGAGATCCACTTGCCTCTGCCTCCCTGAGTGCTGGGATTAAAGGCGTATGCCACCAACACCCCAGGATGCCCCAGAATCTTGACACAATGAATTTTCATTCTGTACTTTCTGTCGTTGTTACTGATTAACATACTAAAGGTGAATTAACAGGGAGCTTATACTTCAAGAAGGGAAGCCAGGTGTATTGGCACTCACCTTTAGTCCCAGCACTCTGGAAGCAGGCCAGATAAATCTGTCGGTTTGAGGCCAGCCTGGTTTACATGGCTAGTTGCAGGATAATAACTACACAGAGAACTCCTGTCTTGGGTGTGTGTGTGTGAGAAAATAGGGTCTCTGGCTCTGCTGGAACCCACATAAAAGTGGAAAGGGGCTAGAGAGATTGTTCAGTGGTTAAGATGTGTGCTGTTCTAAGCCGGGCGTTGGTGGCGCACGCCTTTAATCCCAGCACTTGGGAGGCAGAGGCAGGCGGATCTCTGTGAGTTCGAGGCCAGCCTGGTCTACAGAGCAAGTTCCAGGAGAGCCTCCAAAACAATACAGAGAAACCCTGTCTCGAAACAAACAAACAAACAAAAAACAAAAATTAACCCTTTTGTTTATTTTTAGGAGGAGAGAATTACACAAAGTTGTCCTCTGACTTTCATACATTAGTGATGGCAGGTGCATGTGTGTGTGGCCCTCTTATAATTTTTTAAAAAGGTACAGTTTTTGTGGTGGTGGTGTTTTTCAGTTATTTTGAGATTGGGTTTTTCAGGTTTTTTGAGACAGGATTTTTCTGTGTAAGAACCTTGGCTGTCCTGGAACTTTCTCAGTAGAGCAAGCTGGCCTTAAACTTAAAGAGCTCCTACTGCCTTCTGCCTCTGCCTCCTGAGTGCTGGGATGAAAGGCATACACCACTACACAGGCCATAAAAAAGGTACATCTGTAGACTTAAACTGTTTCTATATTTAGAAAACAGCAATAACTGAAAACTGTGGTACTTACTGCAGTCACTTTGAGTTATGTGACCTGAAGAAGTGAGTTAATTCTGTAAGAAATAAAATGAAAAGTTTCTCAATAATAGAGCATTCTCGTGGCACATGTGAGACTCACATAGATGCAATTCCCTCCTGCAGCCTGGAGAATGACTCAGTGGCTAAAAGCACTACCTTCTCTTGGGAGGGCCCAACTTTGGTTCTTAGCACCCACATAGCCATGTACAAACATCTGTAACTCCAGTTCCCGGAACTGACACCTCTCCTGAACTCTTTGGGCCCTGCACACAGGTGGTACACATGCATGCAAGTAAGCAAAACACTCATACACATATAATACATAAGTTATCTTTAGAATATCAGGGTACCAAGAAA